ATTAATATATGATTATACTACTATAGCTTATTTTTAATTATTTTTATAAAATTAATCATTTTAATAACAAAAATATAAAAAAATATATTTAATTATTTTCAATCATGTCCTTATTAGTCATTTTATTTTAAATAATAACGATTAACTATTATATAACCAAACAGTTATATTAATTGAATTCACTATCTATAATCTACTATTTACTTTTCGTTGTCCACCACTTGTTATCTACTAACCCCTATCTGTTATTCACTATCACTATCTATTATCTATTATTTGGTACCTATCACCAATTAGTTATTAAATTTTAATTGCTGTACCAAACGTGACCTTTAAGAGAAAGAGAGATTTTTTTATGATAATTGGATAAATTCTCAATATTTTTGTTTTTTGTCTACAATTTTAAATTTGGCTAATTATTTGTTGAGATTTTTTTCCTGATTTTCATTGGTCAATTTAAGGTATTTCTAAGTTTCCCTGTTTTTTTTTTTTTTTCGTTGAAGTTACTTTGCTTTTGTTTTTTTGTTCCTTTTCCTCTGAGTCAGTTTAATTGAGTTTAATTTTAATTTTAATTTAAAGAGATTTTCCTATAGGTTTAATATGCAGGCAAAGACATTTTATATTGTTTTAAAATAGCACAATAATTGACACATATTTTGATTTAATACATTTTATAATATATTAGTAAAAAATTATTATTTTTTAATTTAAAATTAAAAATAAATAAATGATAATAAAAAATTTTTTTGATTTAAGTGAAAATATTTAACATGAATTACATATATAAAAAAAAATTAATTGTCATCTATTTACCATATTAAATCATCTTGTCTTATGAAAAAACCAAATTAAAACAACTAAATTTGACAATGATTGATATAGCAACTAATATTTATTGATAAATAGATTCAAACTAGTCTGTAAATAGATGTTTCTGAATATTACATCCAGTTGCTTAAAAAAAATATTATGACTTGTGGCAGCATGTTAGTGGTGCATAATTATTTATTCTCTGTGCTTTAATTATGTATCCAATAGCAGTTTTGTACATGAGTTGTAGTCCCCTTTTATTTCTTCAAATAAAATCTTCCTCTATTTGATATATTTGTATTTTAGATTTTAATTTTAGTAAATAATTTAATGTTTTTGTTTGACTATGGTAATTAAATATGGAGATTAAAAATTAGAACTTGAAAAATTCAATCCCAGTGGTTATACAAGTTATTTTTAAGTTGTACAATAAAATGAAAGTGTGTGTATATTATTATGTGCAGATTTAAGGAATGCAACATAAATCAGTTGTACAAATTAATTAATTGAAAGGAGCAAACCTACCTCGCTTAAATGGCTAGTGCTTTCCCCAAATGACCTTTAGAATGAAAACAGGAAGAGATATGCCTAATTTTTTCCTTTTTTTTTTTTTTCTTGAACAGCAAAGGGAGGTGCCTAGTGAAACGCTTCTCCACTGATTGCTCGGAGTTTCTAGCTACACAAGATTTTCATTACTTGTAAAGTAGATCGTAAATTACTGTAATAAAGAGATTAATTGACAAAAAATATAAAAAAATAAAGCTTACACATTTATAGGAATAATTAAATAAAAAATTATACCTGCTGGTGTGAAACTTCTACCTCCGATAAAAACAGAAACAGAAAAATGCAGTTGATTTTACCAAAATGATGCAATAATCTGCAGAAATTAAAAAATACACTATGAGATGGTAAGTTAATACATAAAATCAGTAAGGCTAAAAATGAAAAAATTAAAGTTGAGAAAAAAAATGGTAATCCAACCACTCGTAAACTCAAGCAAACATGAAGCTTACGAGTTACCTTAGTATGGGGCAATAAATAGAAGAATGCAGAGAAAGTAGAAATGAAAACTGGAACAATAGTTGTTAATTTTCTGATAATGTTTTGAAGTCTGAAGGTTAATTCAGTAATTTCATATATCTTGACATGTTTAAACTACTTTTTACATTTATATTTTTCCATTGTGAGAAATATTTAAACTACTTTTAACTCTAATTTTCATACTCATTAGAGAATAACATACTTCAATAGGTTTAACTATTAAAATCCATAGATTTTTTAGTTTTTTTATCTTTAATTTCAAATTAAAAAATAATTTTTTTTAATAAATAGATTACATCAAAGGATGACTATATCAATGTCTAACAAGCAATGGCATAACCAGCACTTGTAGTTAAGGGGGGCGCAGCAAAAAACAAATATTTACTTAATTCAATTCTTATTACACACCACTAGTAAAAAATAATAATTAATATCTTATTTTATAGGTTTTTTGGCCTACTCTTATTTAGTCTTGTGCAGTTATACTTTTAGTGCATTCATAAATCAATGATATAGTTAAATTAAAAACCTAAAATATAAACTTAAAAAGTTTAAAAGTCTGAAATTAATAATAGTATAGTAAACCTTCATAATGACTTAACAAGTATGTAAATTAAAACTTCATTCATCAGTGCTTTTCAAAAAATTTATAAACCTTAAATTAATTTTAAATATTTTCATGTATTTTTATCAATTTTAATTAATATTTTATACATTTTTTAGATAATAAAAAATTAAAAACTATGACCACAATACAATACAATATTGACAAGTGATAGCAAAGTCAACAACTCAAAAACAAATCAACAATTAAAATAATAATTCTCTATCACAAAACAATAATTGCAACTTATAATATAATAATTTATAAAAAATAATGAAATAGAATAACAAATTTCTTGATTTTTCAAAGACATTAGGATATTACTTAAAATTACAATTTAGAGAGAAATTTTATGAACTCAATTGAAAAGACTCTTATAAAAAAAATAAAATAAAATAAAATTGAAGTCTAATTGTATTTTTGTAGGCCAAGTTTAGAAGTTAGGAAATCTAATGCTAATTGAAGAATAATCCAAATGTGTGAAGGAAAACAAGTAATTAAGTGGAATTAACTATTCAAAAAAAATTTTAAAAAAATAGTGGGCAACTGGCGAGTCAGGATTTTATTTAACTTTTTAATAAAGACAAATAACTATGTTGAATTTTTTAATTTTAAAATTTAACATTTTTTTATATTTTAATTTATTAATTATCTAATTAAATTTA